CAAATAAAAACAACTGAGGAAGTTCTGAGGCTTTGCTATGCGGGAACTGCTGACAAATTTTTCTCAAATGCAGATGATGCTATGAGGTAGTAGACCGCCGACCGAAAGAAGAGCTGCTGAGAGGTACAGGAAAGAAGAAAAACCGGAGAAAAAGGCCTAAAACCGACAAAAGCCGAACACTGGACTCCCCCTTTAAACTACACATTAGACGAGACACATCGGTGCTGACGTCATCAACTTGAACGCTCTGCTCTGTTTTCGCGCTGGAAGGGCAAAGGAACAGCAGGTGGGGTAGCACAACAGTGGGCGTGGAAAGCCGGAAAGGGACTTAAGCGACGCCGGCAGAGCACTGGTAGGCCGCTAAGGGCGCAGCCTTCACAACGAAACAAGCCTTGCTTCCTTGAAGTACCTGCTCCCAATCAAAACAGATATATTCCCTTCCCCCACTTCCAATTTATCGCACCAACTGCCTTTCGAATTTTCAGTGGAAACATCCCTTTAGCAATTGCTATTTTCACCTTTTGCGGCAAACAGTTGTCAATCACGCCGTGATGCTCCCTGTTTCTACAGCAGACTGCAACACCCTAATTTGCGGATGTGTTCAGCTCCTTTAGAATGCATGGCTTATCCCAAAAAATCTTAGAAAATCACTCCTTCACTCCGCACACGATCCAACCGGATAATGCACGAGTGATGAAATAGGTAATGAGCCAATATGGATAAAAATAAGGGGAGTAGCGAGCGAACATCAGCAGGTCACAAGCAACTTACATCAATGATTCGAGGATCCACACATTCGACGGCTCCAACAGTTCGGAGCGAAATTAGTTCACAAGAGATGATTTTTACGATATCCGCTCCATAGAGTTGGCCAACGGAGAGCACCCCAGTGACGGCAACGAGAACGTGCTCATCTGAATCAGGCGAGGTTCACAAAAAGACCTGCAAATCTTTTGAACTCTTGAGAAGAACCTCTTGTGATTCGCAGCACGCCCATTAAACCATACGAGTCCATCACTTTCACATAGCCTCGCCTTTCCACTTCAGCTGCAGCGGAATCTGAAGCAGTCAATAAGTTAGTAAATTATTTAATAAGAAAATCAACAAATAAAAAATGAAAACACAATAACAAAAATTATACACCAGTTTTGATGCACTTAAACGAAAGTTATGAGAAAGCTGTGCGGCTGCACAGTCTATGAACAAACATTGCTCGTTCTATACACGGCCTAGTCGTGGTGAATTTAGTGATCATGTATAGTCAAGCCAGGAATCAATGATTTTCTATTCAATCAGGACGAATCGAGCAATGCTCTTAGCCAGGTAGCGATTTACATTCTATTCATGTTAATCGTCAGTCTTCTCCTGTATTTCGTCTTTCATACAGCTACACTTGACATCGGAGCGATGGCTCCTTTATTTAGAAACAAACAGAACAAAATATAGGCAGGTATCAACAATATGCTTTCCTATCTGCTAAACTCAAATATGCTTCCCTCATCTGCTAAACTCTTCTTTGAAAGGAATTATGAGCAGAAAAGCGCAGGGGCTGTGGTCGAGGCTCACGAAAAAGAGGTCAGGGGATCGATCCTATGGCGAGTTTGTTCTTTTGCCACCTTTCAGTAAGATAGCTAGGAAGATTCCTTAACATCGCTAGTCCAACATGCTTGCGTATAGTTAACCCGTACAAAAAATTAAAGGCAATTAATAACGAACTTGGGCGGCATCGCTCCTCACTACTTTGGGCGCTTGTAGCGCAGCCAGGCATTTTTGCTTCGAACAAGTATGATATTCGTAATCAGGGAGTCAGACTCTCCCTTTGAGCGAACTTCTAGCGAATTCTGAAATTTTGACCTAACCTCGAAAATTTGGGCAGTCACTTACTCACCGATCCACCAATCCATTACAAAATGCTGGCATTGGATGGAATGAATTTTCAGAAAAGACAATAGTGTTAGACAATAGTTAGCAATAGTGTTTTTAGTGTCCCCATCTGCAGTATTCTAGGGAATACAAGGCATTGTTTTCAATACAACCCTTCTCTCCCCTTCTCCCCCGTCGTCCATGATTGGTCAACCCAAAAAAGTGGAGTTTGAGGAGTGGTAATCCCATCACTGCTCCGCTTTTTCTCAATTAGTTCATGACCTCAGATTTGGCGAAAAACTCGTTTTTAGGGGTAGTTTGATCCCCTGAATACGAATATCGTACCTACTTGCCACGGAAAAGCATAGCACCTGCACTACGGGCACCATGGGCACTCACAGGCAAGTAGTGCTAAACTTAAGAGGATCTGCTTGCAAACTCTTCGTAGATGTAGCTTCGGGCGACCGTTGGTGGAATAACGGATTCAAAACTGCTTCCTAGCTAGGTTGATAAAGCAAAACACCACCTTGGGAGGGAGCGAACCCGCACCCCCTAGCTTGAAAGCGAGACCTCTACCAGCTGGGTTACTGAAGCTTTTGATTGCAGGCAAGACACTGAAAATCAAGGGCGGCAAAAAAACCCTCCGTAACTCCTTTCAGAGAAGAGTTCAGCAGATAATGAAAGCAGATTTGAGTTCAGCGTCTCATGCTGCGTACAGAAATGTGCACCATTTCATTTGGCCTGGTTGGCCTAAGTGA